ACAATTGTCGTGAAGCGTATATTTGTCAAATTTATTACAAAAATCAGAAGAACTTTTATTTTTATTGTTACATTGTAATTTTTTCTTTTTCTTACTGCTTGTATATCAATGAATCAACTTACAGAGTGATCCTAAGCTTTATGAACTGTCGAACTGTACCACTACCTCCGCATACTGTACAGGGTTTTTTGCCGTGGCCTTTGCAGTGTGAGCAGTCGCTAAGACCACGACCATGGCAAAATAAGCATAGATCGTGCTGACCAATACCTGGCGGTGGGACACCGGCTTTTGCCATAAAATGAATTGGCGTCCCGACTCCGTAGGCCATATCACCGGATGGAGGTCGAATGATTGCCGTCCCGGTGCCAGGATATCCTCTAGTCATGTCGGACTACAACACAAGTAAAAGGTGTCAATTAACAAAGCAAAAAAAATACAACTATTTTTGCTTTATCCAATTTCGTCTTAAATATTGAACAACTGATCCTATAAATGCAAGTTATTCACTAAAATCAGTAGACGTATTCGGTTTTCAGTACTAATTCTATTCACCATTATTATCGGCAATCAAATTTACTTTTAAAAAAACTGCAACGTGTATTTTTTTTTAAACGCAGTTCGCTTGCAAATTCAGTTAGGACTCGTTGCAAATGTTTTGTTGAGCAACTTTGGACTATATAACTGAAGAAAATAAAAAAGTAAACTACTGGTAAATTACATGTGGAAAAGTTCCAATCATCGGATGCGTGTAAACTGCTGGATGTGCAACTCCGGCTTTCATACCGGTACCTCTGAAATCTCAAGTAAATTTGAATTTACCATAATGAATAAAGTAACGAACGAGTTGGCTATAGGTTTTTGGTGATCTTTTAAACCGTCATTATTAAAGTCGTTTCCAATTCTTTTCCTGCCGCTTCATCTCAGATTCGTGCCACTTTTCAAGATAAATTTTTTAAAACCTACTTAAGTTTCAGCGTAAGTTTGAAAGGTTTAATTGAGAAGCTGAAAAAAGATCTTCTTTTAGATTGATAAGAAGCTTACACAAAATCGAGATTTAAATTCTAGAGACACTTTGACGAAGTGCAAACAGCAGCAGGAAGAGAAGTGGTACAAATTTTTGTTCAAGCTGGAAACGCCTGAGAACTCGTGTACTTTTAAACCTTGTCAGTTTCGTCAATAAGCTTTGGAAAACTTGATTCATTCTTAAGCATATGATCTAATTTATGAAAAACAAGTAGTATTTATTCATCATATATGCTTACGCAATTGGTTAAACATTTACTGCAGAAGCAGAAATGACAAAAAATAGAACGCTCTAAACATAAGATATCTGTTAACTAAAAATAAATGTCCCTTTTTCAAAAGCCCTTAGTTTACTTTTCTGGCTCTTAAACATTTTCAAGAATTCTATAATAGAACAAACTGACAGAATTTATATCAATTTAGGATAGCCAAGAAAGTCATGGCAAGAAAAAAAAGAAAAAGAATAGAGGATGAAAACGATCGTGTTGATTTTTATGCTAACCACTCTTGAGGGTACAGCGAATTTTTTAATTGCTAACAGAGTAAGACAATTCTCAAACGCCATCAAACAGTCTCAGAAATACATTAGAGCTGTCCGTAAGTTTAAAACAACAACTAATAAAAGTTCAGATTTTCACAGTGATGATAGCTACTAAAGTGCCAAAGCATAGTGTAGTATTAGAAATTAAGCTCAGTAATCTAAATTTTAGATTTCTTATAACAAGTGAAGTTACAGTTCCTGAAGCATAGCAAGTTGGAGACAAAAACTTTTGTTGTTTACTTCCTTTCCCTTTGTTTCTTCTTTCACACTCTGATAGCTCTATTTTTTTATGAAATTTATTTTTTCCTCAAAAATTACTTTATTGTAGCAAAAAAGTCTTTCAACAGAAATATTGTGGACCTGCAATAACCGCATTTATCGGTACCATAACCACGGCAGTAGAAGCAGTGTATCAGACCTTGAGCGTTACAGGTTGCACAAGTTTGTAACTCACTTGTCCCTGGCATAGTGACAACCTTGGTCTAAAATGTTAACGGATTAAATGCCACTTCTCAAACAAAGCATGCAGTTTCTTAGCAGTTATATAGACTGTAATTTTTGTTGTTTGCAACTCAAAACACCAAACAATGGTTATCGATTTAAATGGTTGTAAAAACAATCCTTGAAAGGTACAACATTTTACCCTTTCAACAAATTCCTCTTCGGGTTCAAATTCATAATCCCATGGATTCATGTTGAAACTGCTGCTACCAGCTTCATCACGATATTCAAGAAATTGGCCTAACGTGACACCTTCTGTAGCCTTAGTGGTGCATCGTGTTTCCGTAAAACTTTCCAAAGCATACTGGAAAAGAAAACAAAAGAGTGTTTTACACTGAAAATTAGTTCTTTTTTCCAACATTGTTGCGAAACTTTTCAGAGTCATAACATTCTGCAATAAATATTATTCTGATACTCAGGTATACTGTTCTTCGAGCCTGCCAGTTAGGTTAAGAATAGAAATTTTTAGTCAGTCGAATTGATTACAGCAGTAACTGCATAACTGTAAAAATTTGACAGTAAGAAAAGAGGTATAAAATTTGGACTGTACAGTTGTATATGCAATAGAGTTGTCATGCTAGAGTTATTCTATTGTTGAAGCTCCAGTCAAAAAGAAGAAGAAAAAAAGTTGAAGAAAAAAAAAAGAAAAAAAAAATCTCCATAGATATTTAAATAATATAACTACTATCCAGTTTGCTCTATAATTCTACTGAAAATCTGGTAAAAAACCTGCCAGCTGTCTAAATAATTGGAAATAAAAAGCATACTTTTATCTTCTTTATTTGCCATTATTTCTCCATCTAAACTGCCTTCACTGTGTTACTAGCCTAAAATCTATCCTTTTTACTGCCAACCAGTGATCACCACCGGCTATGCTGATAATATATAACTGTGCCATAAAAGCTGACTCTAAACTGCAGAATATTCTTATTGTACTGCTGGCCAATGTTTTACAATTAGAGATACTATTTGAAAAGAAATAAGTCACAGGAACAAACACTGATGCTAGATTTTTAGAACACTGCTGAAAAAAGAAAAAAATTTTTCAGAGGGTGAGTAAAAGCGTTTTGAATCAACAAACGCAAAAAAAAAGCTTCACAAGTACAAAATATAACTGTCTTATACCTGGCTATCAAATACCGTTTACGCTACAAGAAACTATATTTGAACTATGCCATTGATCTTGCAGCAAAAACTATAAATTCAAATACCGCCAGCTATAAAACCCAATAATCTTACCAGAAATTCACAGCTAAGATAATCATCATGATACTTTTAAAAGACAGTTTTGAGATGAAGAGCAAAAGATGAGATAAAAAAAAATACTCTCTACAGGGCACTTGCGAGACGATAAAACCTTTGTTAATGAAGAAACAGGAATGCGGAATGACTTTAACAGAGAACCGTGATAAATCGCTTTCAATTTTAAAAGCAGCAATATTGGAACGTCAGATTCAGAACAGATACTTCAATTCCTCAAAATCACATATCTTTTTTTTTAATTTGACACAAATTTTCGTTTAGATCAAATGTTAGTGAAAAAACATTTCCTTTTTTTTTTTTTTTTTTTTTCGTGAAACAATCATCAAATTATTTGCTTTCCAGTTTTACTACTGCAGTACCATTAATAAATTTCAAATGCATTGTATTAAAACCAGCTTTGTTTTTCCTTTACATATTCCTCAACTTCTAGTCTTAGACTTTTTTTTTTAATTTTTTCGGCACTCTGTGTTGTAGTTCATTGTATTCAAGTCGTTATAACAGCTCATCATCCACGTAAATTTTACAACAAAAGCTTATACAATTGTTGTACAGTTGAACAAATTTTTGCGGTGAAAAATTGGTATTTTCAGCTATCAATGAAAAAACCAAAAATAAGCAAAAAATCAGAAAAAAATAATGCTGAGACAACGAAAAAACGTCAGCCTAAATTTATTTGTGTTAATCAGCATAAGTAATCAATTGGTTGTCGTCTTTCAAACTATCACTCAAGTCTCTCTATCAAAAAACAAATGCAGTGCAGAAAAAACTATCAGTTTTAAAAAATCATAACATTTATTAAAAGAAGCGTAAATTTTTGCACCCACTTAATCTTTTTTTCTGAGCACAATAAAAAGCATAAGATAAATAACTAACATGATAGCATGCCACTGTCACTATGTCTTCAATTTCCATTTTTTTCACCGTTTTACTACTCCAATACTTATGACGCTTGGCTTCCCGTCGAAGTGCTTCACGTACTTCATCTTCAGTGATCCTTCGAACGTCATCAAAGTATCGTTTTGGGCCATTTCCATCTTCAAAAGAAGAAAAGAAGAAGATAGATGAATATAAAATTAAAAAAATTTTTTTTTGTTTAACGAGAAGAAACAGCAGTGATAAATCAAATTTTACTGACGTTTAAATTGTAAAAATGTCGAAAAAAATATGCATTATACAGAAATCAAAACATATTAACAACGAGCTGACATTTTCTTGCTTAATCGTTTTTTTTTTATTTTGTTTCAAATAAAACCAATTCTTTGTTTCATTGTAATTTCTATTCTAATTCTGCCCTTCCGACCTCCAGTATCATCCCTCCTCATCCCATCCTCATTCTCTTTCCTCTTTTTTATACTCTTCCATTGTTTCCTTCAAAAGACTGACTAACAAAAACGATTACTTTATTTGAAATACTTCGCTTTTTGTAAAGAGCAAACACAAAAATTTTTCTGCTTATTTAATTTCCAAAAAAAAAAAAAAAAAA